GGGGGGGCAAGTTATAGGGGTAATCATGGAGAAGACATTTGGGGGGGACCGGCTGAGGGCCCAATGGGGGACTCTCCCCTCCCTCCCCAACCCGGGGTCTTTTTCCCCAGGCCAGGAGCATCTTCCCCCCCCATCCCCTCCCCCGGTACCGGCAGCGGTGAAGGTCACGGGCGGACGGACCCCCCGGTGCTGCGCTGGGGACGAGGGGACATCCCCAGAGGGCTGTGTCCGGGGGGAGCGCGGGGCCCGGTCCCCGCAGGGCGGCACTTACCGGGGGCGGCGGTCCCGGAGCGGGGCCGGTACCGAGCGGAGCCGAGCGGGGCCCGGCGCTCGCTGCCACCGCGCAGCGTCACGTGCGGCGGGGCGGGGCGGCCCCTCCGGGGGCGGCGGGACCGGGCACCGGTACCGGGAACCGGGCACCGCACCAGGGAACGGCCACGGGCACCGGCAACTGAGATCCGGAGCTGGGGACCCCCCTCCCTGTCCCTGTCACCCCCCGAGAGCGCCCGGCTGTCCCCTCCCTGCCCAGCGCCCGGGTCCCCGCAGAGCCGCGGATCCCGCAGACAGCTCCAGCCCCCACCTGCGGTTGGTACCCGGGTACCGCTCTGCCCATCACCCACATCTCCCCACAAATTCGGCTCACGGGGTTCCCCCCGCAGCTCTCCCTGGGACCCAGAGCTGGCTCCCCCCTTCCCCCCCCTGGCTCTCGGCAGACCCCATTCATCCCTAACCCCCATCCCTGGTACTCAGGGACCCTCATCCCTGTCCCCCTCCCATACCTCCATCCCTGGCACCCCAGGAACCCCCTTACCTGTAACTTCCCAGTCCTGGTAACTCATCCTTAACCCTTCTTCTCTCACCTCCAGGGTGGCCCCCATCCACAGCTGGGACCCCCACCCACAACCCCCCTGCTCCTACCCCCCCTCCCCTCTCTAATGCCCTCCCTGGCACCCCCATCCCCCAGAGCCTCCCCCCAGGGACACACGAGGTGGGGACAGGGGTGGGTGTGACAGGGCCAGGGCCGCCAAATGTAGTGCCCAAGCTCCACAGAACCTATTCCCTCCCTGTGCAAAGGAGGGGGAATTTCTGCTCCAGCAGGGTCCCTCTTGCTCCCACCCCACCCTGCAGTGCCCACACTCCTTTTTGGGACAGCTCCAAGTGGGATTTATGGGATAATCACATCCACCTTGCTCCAACACCCTCAGCCCACATGTCCACACTGTAAAGAGGCTGCCACAGCTCCAGTGACAACTTTAATCTGATAATATTTGCAAATAACAGACAAAACAGGAATGGGGCCTTGGCTCACACCTTGTATCTGCATCCTCCAGAGGACCCGGCACTGCCGGGACCGCCACAGCCCTGGAACACCCCATGGGATTCCTTCCCACAACAGTGTCAGCTCAAGGAAGAGACTTTTTAATATATAACATTAAAAAAAATTAACAGCAACTTGAAAAGATGGAATTTCCAAGGAGTATGTACACAAGCGAGTGCTTCAGGTTGGGAAGAAAAGCCTCCTGTGGCTTTGGCAATGGAATTTGCCATGTCTGTACCTTGGGAAAGAATCCACGGGTTCAAACTACCCATAAAAATCACTTTTTAGGAAATTGAGAGCCCCTCAAATGCTGCTGCTTCACCCCCAAACCCGGCAGGGACAAGGGAGGAAGGCACCGGGCAAAGAGAAGCTGGAATTCTTAGCATTAAAAACATTGGAAATCAAAACCAGTGGGGCTTTGGGGATGGCATTTGTGGCCCCCACTCTCTTCTTGCACCCCAAATTCCTGCAAACCTTGAAAAAGTAAAACTGATGTGATCTCTGCATTGTGTTCTTCTGTGGAAACAAAGGAAAAGGTTGGAAAGGAAGAGGATCTCTAATAAAGAGATCCCTCGGCAGTGCTCAGTGTGGATCAGTCTGGAAGTGGGATGCTATTTCCTGCTAAATATTAATGGGGAGAAAACTTTGCTGGGAGATTAAAAATAAAAAAAATAAAAATTTATTTTTAATAAATTTTAATTTTGTGCATTGCTGAAAAATGAGGAGAGAGGAGTAAGAAAACCTCTTCCCATGGGAAACACGGCAGCCACCCGCACCCCCTCGCCAGCTCTGACTGCCCTGAGCCAGGAGCACTCCCAGCAGCGCCAGACTGGAGGAAAATGTTCTCCAGAGTCATTAAAATATCCCACATTTCTAAAAAAGCCCACAGTTCCCAGAGCCCAGGTGGATTGTCCAAGGTGTGGAAATGAGGGCAGAGGGGGCAGCTCCCAGTCACTGGGAGGCTTTGGGAGGCAGAGCCCAGCTTCCATTTCAGGCTAAGTAAATGAAGTTTTGCTGTCTGAAAGCGCCAGACATTCCTCACCAAGTCACAATTCCTGTACTTCCATAGTACAGTACATGGACTGAAAGCATAAGAGTGGATCAAAGACAGGATTATCCTAAAGAGTCATTAAAGAATGATCAGGGTGGTCTGGATCTACTGGATCACGACCCCTTTGTGGCCAGGCTTGGGGCCACCCCTCATCCCAAACACACCAACTGCTGCTCAACTTCCCAACCCTCCTGTTCTCTATTAAATAAACCCAGGAACGCTGTCCTGAAGCAGGATGTCCTTCAGTGCAATCTGCTTTGACATAAGGCATTTGTTTTGTTTTTTGGGGAGCAAACGTCTCATGATGGACTTTTGCCTTCTGGAAGAGTCAAAAAGTACTGCATCCACCTGTTTTTATTCTTTTAATGCCCTACCATGTGACAAATCCTCTTCCCCTCCGGTCGCTCCTCTTGGAAAACCATTAGTGGCCAAGTAAACCAGTCCCTGGGAAGGAAAGACACCACCAGCAGATGAGCAGGGAAATGGGAATGGGGTGGAATTCACGTGAGGGGATACAAAAGGGGGCAGAACACCTGGACTCACCTTTAAATCCCTCTTCAGGCATACAAACTGGGATGGAAAAGGAAGGAAGGCATTAGAAGTCACTCTGAGGATTCCATAGGTGGTGACAAGGAAGTGTCACAATCCCCATTTTCCACCTTCCCAACCCAAATGCTCGGCCACCAACCCAAGCCCAGCCCATCCCCACCCCTCTCACCTTGCATAACATCATCCATGGCTGCATAATCTGCAATGGGCTCATCAGCCTGGAAAGGACATTGGAGCAGGGAATTAACAAGGGCAGGGATCCGGGGGACCTCGCTTCTGCTCAGCAGAGGAGCAGGGAACAGCTCTCTTGTCCAAACACTGGGAACTCGATGGGAGGACTCACTCCTTAATTCAGTCGTTTTTGGGTTGTACCCACAGAGCTCACCAGCCAAATCAGCTACAAAGCACTCTTGGAAATAAAAAAAAGGGAGGTTTTCTCTTCCAAAACAAAGATAAAAAGG